AAAAATCTATAGGTAATATCGTACGGGAGAAGCTCAATGAGTAGATTACAGTAGAAGGGCAATCAAAATCGGAAGAGTCTCACCATTCAAATATACTTTTCAGTAACTTCGGTTCCTTTGAATTACTTTCGTGGAAAATGTTACTTGCTCAGACAACTGAACGGAGCTTCCGCAGTATGTTTGGGAAAGTTCCGCCAGATAAACTGCGGAAGTTTTGTAAGCGTGAAGCGGAAGTTCTCAAATGATGCTGCGAAATTCCGAAGGAAGCGAACCACGACAGCAAAAGAGAACACCTAAGCGAGACTTGAACCTAACTTTATTGACTCGAGACTCACTTACGATCTCTGTACTACGGATGACATGTTCGAATGCGCACTCTAGTTGTTAGTGAGGCAACATCGAGTAGACAACACATTCAAAAACCTGCGGAATTGCTTGCATGTCAAAGTGCTGCGGAACCGCTGGTATTTTTCGGAATTTCCGCAGCGATTTGCAGAAAGTCCCGGGAATTCCCTTATTCAACCAGTCTGACGTGAAAATACTGCGTAAGGTACCACTTTCATTGTTTCCACTTTTGCAATAGTAAACAAGATCCTGCGGAACCGCTGCAATTTCTATCTGTCGTGAGGAAGTTCTGGTGAATCGTCTGAGTGAAACATCAGTGACCCTATCCATCAAACGGAGAAGATTTGGAAGACCCATACCGCGAGAGTTCGCTGGGCTCAGCAGCTCTTTATGATTCATATGAACCACAACAGGGCAAACGGCTGAACGACAGGATTGCCGGAGACCGTATGTGCTGTGGAAGTGAGAAATAAATATATTGCTCAATTATGAGCAGCATCAGGTTGCTTATAGTCATGCAAGGAAATGCAGTGGAGAAAGCAACTGAAGTGAGCACGCTGGAAAACGTGAATTTAACACGAATGCTGACATTGAATTAGCGTCAAATATGAAAAAACATTTTCACTTATGCAAGTTGGTACGGAAAGAACTAATTAACTTAAAGTTCAAAAATGTTTTCAAAGTGAAAAATCAAGTGCAAGTAAATGTAGAACTACGACATTGACGAACGGATTCTATTAGGTTGGTAAAAAAGAATGTCGTTTCAAATTTCATGGCAAAGCAACAAGATGAATTTGAAAAGGAGGGAACAAAAAAAGCGAAGCCAGCTCTACAAAGATAGCTTTTGAACATTAGCATAATTATGATTTACGCAAGGTTTGCACCCGAAATCCATAGCACCAAAAATCAGACTTTAGCTCCAAAGTTCCTAAAAAAATTATTACTTGTTTTTGTAGACACACACACATACTTCAGTATATGCGCTTGCTATATTTTTCCCTAGCAAAAAAAAAAGAAAAGAATTTAGGAAGCGAAAGGGCAAACACCGCCCCCTAAGGGTCCTAAGTTCATCGCATAGATGCAAGTGTGTACTAAAACACTCTGGAGGTCCATCATTTCGGCCTTGCACATGTTTTAGTTTATGGAAACTATTATATATTCTAGCTTGAAAGAACGGAAAAAGCGGCATACTTTTTTTTCCAACTCAGCAACTTCGAGTAAAAGGTAAACTTCAACTTCTACTTCAAGTAAACTTTGAATGAAGTGTAATGGAACCTACGCACACACTAATTTCCGCAATTTTTGCAAATTTCAAGCAAAAAGTCAGGAATCTGCGGACGAAGAGGAAAGAAACCCACGCATACTCAATTTTCACATTTGCAAATGAAAAGTCGGGAATTTCGAATGAAGTAGAATAAAACCAACGCAAATTTAGATTTATGTTGCTCCAAAAGTAAACTTCTTTTCCAAATAAATCTGGCTGTTTTTGTTTCCCCGGCAGACTTGATGAGCCATCGATGAAGCGAAGCAAGCTCTACAAAATGATTACTAAAGATCCTCTTGAGTCGTAACCCAGATAATGTTTGGAGCCAAAATCGAAAAAAGTTAGTTATGTTGAAATTGGATTTTTGCGAAAGAAAAAATTTCTGCGGACCTCCAGCTTGTCATTATGCAGTAGACACATACTAATATAATACTCGAAAATTTTTTAATTTTTTATCATATATGGAAAGCGAGAAGAAAAAATAGTCTAATAATGGCAAATTCCGCCCTTTCCTCTAACATATGTGATTGTATACTGCAAGCTTTAGTAAGTGTAACTTTGCAAATTCACCTCTGTATTTGCCCTGGTTATCAAGAAATATCAAGTTCAACTTGAAAAATCGAAAAAAAGACACTATTCGTTTCGAGCTATTTTTATTTCTTGTTTTTGAGACCTGCAATAAATCCAAAAAATGCATTTTTGGATACTACTATGTATGTGTCTATGTATGATGACTAAGTTGAAGTCCGTAGGAGTATTATAGAAGGAGGTCCGATTTTCAAAATAGCTGAAAAGATTCCAGTAGATCAAATGCTCTCTTATCTTCGAACCTGGCTGGAAGATTTTTAATTTTTGGCTCCAAATTTTACCTAGATTACTACTAGGCGAATTTTTGGAGGTCATTTTGTAAACAGCTCAATTTATTTAGGTAAGGAGTTTACTTTTGTGACCATAAACCAATTGTAAGTCAAAATTGAACAATTTGAATGAAGTGGAATGAAACTAGCGCAAACTCGGCATTTACAGGGGCGAAACCTCTCGATACCATTTTTTTGGAAAATTGGCTCTCTTATCGGTCCACTTTGGGCTCATAACTAGCCTCATCGACCGCGCCAAGCCCGAAATGCCCTTCCAGGGAGATCCTCATGCAATTCGAGCAATTTTATCCCTCAGCATCAAAGTGCGTTTTTTTTTTCGTGCAGCTGCATCTTAGAAAGAAAGAATTGGAAGTATCGATTGGTGTTTTTCGGCGGTTACTTCGGTCAGGTCAGCTGCCGATTGTGTCGGACGTAAAAAAACGGCCAGCTTCTCACTCGGGGCTAAATAGTTCGTTTCCTCGGCCCCAGTTTCAGTGTATAGCATCAAACGTTACAGTTGGGCTGCTAGACAGTTGTTCTCTTGGCCCAAGGTTTGCTTGGAGAAATTTGTTTGTCGCCGTTATATCTTTCAAAAGTCCCACAAAGTCTCATTTTTATATAGCTATGGTCGTTCTTTGAGCTTCTTCTCTCAAGTTCTCCATTGTATTTATTCGTAAGCAAATTTCAGCTTCTTCATATCCTCGTTGATTCATCATTTTGGCATCAAGAATCCAAAGCTTGATTTTCTCGTGATAATCTTCCACAAATCATTCCTTTTTTGAGCATGGAACCGAGTCTGTAGGAAAATGATTCCCGCCAAAAATTTTTGGAAAGCTTCATTTGTGCCTTCTTACTGAAATCTTGTTGAATATAATAACTGGTAATTTTTTCAAAGAATTGTACAAAAAGTCTAGAATTACTGGGGCCTCCCCCTCACATTCTAATATTTGAAATTTCTGGGATCGTAGCTAGCTCCCAACCATCCAGGAAAATCGACCCCAGATAGGACATCATACTGTAATCATAATTTAAATTAACTATAGAATGGGCTCATTTTGTGCTTGATCGTACCTGAGGCAGAAAATCACTTTAGATAAGCTTTATGAAAGAATCTAACATCTAAATTCGTTGCTGAATAGGGAGCTGTGGAAAATGACTGCGATCCAAAACAGCCTCATAAATCATGCTATAATTTGCTATAACTGCGCGGCCAAAAAAAACTTTACGGGAGTGATTCTCTCGTTTTGGTCGTTAAATTTGTTATAATGTGCATTACATGCCTTTATTTTTGTCTTTTGAGTGTGTTATAACACAGAAGAATGTTCAAAGAGGTAGTAGGACATTTCGTATTCTCTATTAACACCCGCATTTTATTTCCAAAGAATCCTAGTCTTTCAAATAATTTCACTAGGATTGAAGCTCCTCCTTGACATTTAGAAGAAATTTGAAATCTTGGTTACTGTAAACGTGCTTTTTTTCAATGTATGAATCATCCAATGTCTCACTAATGCGAACTTACTTAACAGTTGTCAATGATCGTTGTGTAGGATTTTCTTATGCCGAAACCAGGTTAATTGGTGGAACTTCTTTATTGACTCAACGTTTCGAACAATTCGTCTTCGTCAGGAGTCTGAAAAGGATCGTAGGTACTCGTACTTTCACTATATCGCCAAACGTCTCGTCAAACGCTGCTCGTTAGACCTTCCCTGGTGCAATGTACTGAAAAGCTAAACGAGAGTGCCAACCTCAGTCCACCATAAGACCAGTAGCCCGCACAACTGTAACGAAGTTGTCAATGAGTCACCAATTTTGAATCCTTCTCGAAACTTTTACGCCCTATTCCTGATTTTTTGGACACATGTTATGTCCCCACATAATTTGAAAGGCAGGAGAGAGGGGAGGCAGGAGGGGTTGGAGGCAAAATTGAGGAAATCCATTGACTGATTAGACATCAAACACTATAATATATATTGTTCCCTAATCAAGAACAAAGAAAAAACTTCTAGAATCTATACAAAAAAGTTTTATGCTCCATTATTAATTATTACGCTTTACGTTCTTGAAGAGGGAGGTAAAGAGGGGGCTGGGGTCAAGATTCAGAGAAAACTATTGACTTCAAAAATATATAACACTAGAAATTTTATATTTTTCCTCGATTATTAGAGAAAAACCCTTAGTCAAGCTAAAAATTCGTCGTAAATACGAGAAGCAGCAAGCACTCATCGTGATTCATTTCTTGGCGAAATCCAAATCACCACATAATTCATCCACCAACTGCTAGAAAAAAGTGGCTTTAGAAATGAATCGATTATCAGTTCTTCCTAAGACTAAGAAAAATGCCTAGAATATCTGCAGCTCGTAGAGTATTTTATAGCTTTCCACTTCTTGTAAAACATCCCGATTTATGACTGGCTGAATGGACTGATAGTGCAGAGTGATGATCTATCCAGTCCTATTGTCTCGTCGCTTCGGCTGTCTTTATTCTCTCAGAATAAAAAATTCTTTATCCTCGAATGAATCTCTTTTGAGGTGTGATGCCAGTCTATTTGACTCTTCTCGGTGGTCCACCGTGGGGTATGAGGCTCGGCAATGATCAAGAACTTCGTCCTATAATAGCTAGGGTAAGTTCAAGTTTTTTAGACAAAAAGTGAGGTCCTGTAAAGAAAAAAAATTTTCCCATTATAGACACTAACGAACGGTCGAGCTGCCATGGAGGGTGTAAAACCAGGAGATGTTTTGCAATCTGTGAACAATATCCCAGTATTCACTTGCAAGCAAGCTCATGCGGTCATACAAAAAGCTCAAGGAAAACTGAAGCTTGGGATTGCTAAGTAATGCTAACTTTCTTTTTTTTACTTATTTTCTAGTTGAAGCAAAGTAGCTAACAATGATATCAGGTTAAGACAAACACGGGAACTTCCGCAGAGCAAAAAAGATTTGCAGTGGTCTGACAAGATTTTGTTCACTATCAAAGACTTTTAAAAATCGAAAATGGGAACTTTCGCGGGTATTTGACGCTAAACTGATTGAATACGAAAACTTCCGCAGCACATTCCATAAGAGTCTGCGAAAGGCCCGTTGCTCAGTTGTCCAATGGAACTTCCGATCAGTTGTCTGAGTTGAATCGGCATGTTGAACCGAAAAATTGAACCGGTGTGGTTCGAACAAAAGAGAAACGAAGATGAAAATAATTATCATGAATCTCAGATATCATAAATATAAAAAACCCTTATCTATTTAAATATCATTAAGTTTTTGTATTTTTTATCTTTCTGTGAATATTACTGAACATTTCATGCATTCCTAATTGCCCTCTGATTCAACTGGCTTGGCGGCTGGAAGGCGGGGCTTCGTAACCTAATTAAGACTAGATAACCAGATAGCACGCGCGCGGGAGAGGCGCAGGCTGCGTCGAACGGTCTTAATTAGGTCACAAAGCACCTTCCAGCCGCCAATCTAGTTGAATCAAAAATTATGTATATAACGCTTGATCCAAAAAATGCTTTTTTTCCACAAATTTGAGATTGATTGCGTATTCTGAAAAAAAAATCGAATACATTAAGAAAATACGCTACCGTATACAGCTGTTGACGTTTTATGTGAGTTTTTCCGTGTTTTTGGCAGGAAAAAAATTGGCAGACCGAATTTTCTGTTTCACTGCTTGGTTATAGAGAGCATGGGCGCGGCAAATCCTGATCTGTAGCTTTTGAATTCTGCGCTGCTACACTTCGTTTATGAATTTGTTTTCAATAAGGGGATTGTTTTTTGCTTTTATTTTGTATAGCAGCGAACCAAATTTTAAAGGTGCTAGATTTGCATCCGCGCGCTACGGGACCAAATCGTGGTTCCCATATCTGATGTTATTTAAATGGCGTTACGATTCTTTATAAAATAGATCTATAGCCTGATTATCTGTCAAAAGTATGGTTGAAATTCTTTAAGGGAGATCTTAGCGATGCATCGAGTGAGGATTCAAAGCTTCAACATTCTCTTAGAAAAGGAAGAAATGGAAGTTTTCAATTTACTAGTATATTTCAGGAAAACCTCTTGAACTTGTACGGAATGCTCAAAAGAACAAATCAAACAAAATTTAGCTTTGACGACTATCAAATACACTATTCAATATTTTTATTATTTATTTTTATGTATACAATATTTCATACAAACTTTTTTTAAAATAAGCGAATACAATATTTTAGGTCAAGTTCATGGAAGTTCCACATATTCATTCATAGTTGCCCTGCTTTGCATAGTATTTACTTAACCAACGGAAATTCTTTTTTTTTAAATTTTCCGTGTGGGTGCACGATGCATTTTTGTTGACTTCACCGTAGTTTCTTTTGTCGTCTCTGGACCTCAGCAGCCTTTGGGGTCTAAAATTCCATCACAGTTTTGATTTTCAGTCCTGAGAAAGTTTGGTTGAAAGTTGTATGAAACTACAATATAATAAGATAAAATAAATTTGTGATGAAGGCCTTGAAGTGTACTTTGTACTACAAGTAAAGCTTCCACAAAACAAATAGAATTTGTAAGTATTCTGAATGATACTACCAATTTTGTTCCTTCTTTTAGGCAAAGTTCTCGTAAAATGTTTCAAAGTGCATGAAGTTTGAAATTCGTAAGCCTATTAGGTGTAACATAAAATAGGACAGGAATTCTCTCATCGTTAAAGCTTTACGAACTTGCCCTTCTGTTTTTCTTGTCTTCACCTTTTCCTATGCTTTACCCTTAGCCTTCACTTACAAAGTACTCAAACTACCTCTCACTATTCTCAAAGCAAAGGGCTAAGTGAGTTACCAACTCAAAATTCCTCTATTCTGGTCCAATTTCCTGTTTTGAGAGGTTCTTTCAATAACATCTGGCTTTTTCAGAACATCTGCCAACAGCACACCAATGCGGGCAAATCGAGAGGACATTAATAAGTTGATTAAGTGATTTTATTCAATTATATAAGTAAAAAATGCAATGTATTAAAAATTCCAGTGAATTTGTGACGCCACAAAATGCTACTAACTTCGCAAAAGTGAGAAACTATCGCTTAGATTTGGAAGCTGCACGAGGAGGTAATACAAAGGTAAGTTAAACTTTCTGAAATGATATATTGTTCCCTTTTTCTCGTTTTTCTTTTCATATTTTTCGCATAAGTGCAAAAGTGCAGTTATGTACGTTTTCTTTTCTAGCAAAAACGTCGTTTCTTCGAGGAACAAATCGCGAAGAACAGTGTAACAGATCGGCTGCTTCAGAGAAAAATACAACTCGGCATGCTTCATAGTACGTAATTTTCACGTTTCTCTATATAACTCGATGTAATTTTACATCAACATTAGAACACTGTGAATTCTATGAATGCAACGATAGCGGGACCCCTAATTAGTTGATGGCCAAAATCCCGACGCAAAAGGCGAATTCCAAAATGAGAAAATTGCTTCAGAAGGTCAGCGCGGCTTGAGTGGCTCCGCCCAACAACGTGGGTGGTCTGGAGATGAAAGGTCCAAAACTGAATCTAACGTATCTAGACCTGTCATAAATCTGTTATTCATTGAGGTTATCGGATTTTCGACTTTTCCATGTGCTCTGAAGCACGTTTTCGTGCTCATTATCTTCAGACCACCCACGTTGATGGGCGGAGCTACCTGTACCTCTTCTAGCTTCTGGAGTGATTTTCTCGCTTCGGATTTCATCTTCAGCAGCGGGATTTGGGCAATTACCTAGTTAGGTACCCACTATTGTACAGCATCAAAATCTCATAATCCTCATTCTTAGTGGACGACGCCTTTAAAATTGTTTATTTTCATATTTCTAAATCCTAGACGAAGCACCTAGCGAAAGCACTACTGGTTACGATAGTGTTGGAGCGGATTTTGCTGGAGGAAGAAGCTATACCACTAGCTCGATGACTTCAACCAGGTGCGTTAGAGAGAAATTTTGGAGGGGAGGGGGGTTAGCTTAAATTTTTGCTATATAGTGCAATAGTACGAACACACAACACGCTGCAATAGCAGTAACTTTTTATTGGGAGCAAATGACGCACAGCATGGAAGTCATTAATCAGCAAATGCGACAGCTGTGGAAGAGTAAAGCGGTTTTCTTATAAGAAATGTAGTGTGTAGATATGCAGGAGTGTTTTTAACTCTTGAAAAAAGTGGTCTCGTACTGTGCATAAGAGAGGAGACAGAAGTTGATAATATAAGCTTGGGGGAACCATAGTATAATAACGTCTTCAATCGTAGTTTGAGGGGTCGATGTCGTCTAATCCTTTTCCATCAGCTCAACCTCAACACCAGGGTAGCGCGCCGCGTTCGCGTTTTTTAGCTTGACCATTCTAATTTTGCCCCATAGCTCGAAGGTGCCACGCATGGTTCTCACGCTGCGCATGCACAGCTGCTACTTCAAAGGTTGATCTGGCTGACACAAACTGTATAGTAGCTCTCTAATGTGTAGTCGCCTTGTGTAGTTGCACTTCTTTTTATGCGTTGGCAGTTGCATATAGAAATATAAAAAAGCAAGAGACTCCTTTTACAATCCTTGTCTAGTTTCTTCTTCATGATTTCATATCGGTACTGATATGCTCTAGTGCAGAATGCAAAAGCTGTGCGATTATACAAGACAACTGTTGAAATGAGGACGATCAAAATTTCGAACCTCTAGGTCATTATTCTACCAATAATGCATATGCGTGGCTCGAAATTTTACTCAGAACTTAGAAAACACCTGGACTTCACTTGATTAGCCTAATATGCAGATTAGGTGCTTTAAATGCTTTTGTCATATAGATGTCACCTGAGACCTTTCCTGCCTAATCTGCTTTTTCTCAAAAAAAAGTGAGTTTGATATCCATTTCTATCATAAAAGGTTTCTCGTCAAATTGTCTAGCTTTCGATATAATCCAGAAGATAAGAAGGTTGAAAGATGCGCAAAATACTGTATTTGTTGTCAACAATTCATACATTGAACTTACAATTTGGTACCTGCTGTACTGCCATATATTGGAACTACTCCATACCTAGACAATTTTCGGAATTTTCGCAGGAACTAACCGAAAAATGAATTGGCTGTATGTCTTATAGGTCTTATTGATCGCGAATACATCCAAAGTATCATATCTAGAAAAACTTAAGCTTCTCCAATGAAAATCTTTTCCGAGGTAATTTTTCTCGAACTGTGGCGAATAAGAAGTCCAAATAGCTTTTTAAGTCGAAAAGTATATTGATAACTCCTCTCCTCCAAATTTTTTTCTCGCTGGAAATGGTTTTTCATTATTTGTAATTTAACACATACATCGATGCCAGCGGCGGTCCCAGGACTTCCTCTTGCACAATTTTGAAACTCATGTAGGTGACTTTTGAAGTTATTGCGACCCAGTTTTGGGGGGGGGGGGAGGGTGAGGGACGGGAAATATCGGGATCAGCCTAATTGTCGGTTAATTTTAACAAATTGGTACCAGCATTCCTCCCCCCCCCCCCCAATCGTAATATTTTGATCCCCCGCCATCTGTCTTACCCCCTAGATGACACGCCTGACATCACCGGAAGGAAATTGCGTGGCTTAAATTTGTAATAATTCGTCGCCCGCGATGTCAGCTGCTCTTTCGAAGCCCCTAGCTAATGCTGTTCACTACGAATGTCTCATGCCCTTCTTCACATTTTCAAAAATTTCTCTTTTTTTCGCTTTCAGACGTTTCGAGAGGCTTTTTTGCAACGTACCAGAGTTTTGCCAGTTTCCCACATAGCTTATAGTAGCAACTGGATGCGACAGCTGTTGTAAGCTCGCAACTTGTGTTTATTTACACTATAAAAACTAGAGGGCGGTCTCGATTTGATATTCTTAGGATTCAAGGCATTTGCTGCGAATCCGCTGGAATGCGAAAACATCGCTTGTCGCCGAATCCCTCGAGTTTTTCGTTTCATGGCGATCGTTAACGGCATTTCTGAGATTCAAAAAGTTGTCAGCTGCTCAAACTAAAGTCTTTTTGCAATTAGTGCTATAGTTCTGTTTTGAAATCCTAACAAATTAGCAAAATCTTATTTATTGTGTATTTTCTACTTGTATATGTTTTACATCATACGTGCCCTTCTTTATTACAGAATCAGAAGAATCATCTTGTCCGCTGAATCTGCTCTCATATCTCGGGGTAAACCCTTTTACACCAACTTTCAAAAGAAACCATAAAGGAAGAAAATTTCTAGCTAACAGCAATCGATAGAATGCGTAGAAATTAAGTTGAGGGGGGGGGGTGGCACAACAGAATTTTTTTTGATCGAAGCCCACAAAGCTAGTGGCTGGCACTTTAGAATATCTCGGAGCTCATGGAATTGCGCAATTCATAGCACGCAGAGACTGAACGCCGTTGCGTTCGATCAAGATAGTACGTGTTTGAAGGAAATAGCAAACGGTTAGAGAGTTTAATGTACATTTGATCTGACAAGGAGAGGATACTTAGTCGAAAGCACCAATCCAGATGAGACATATATCATCTTGAAGCGCTTGAAACGCTGATTCCAAATCTGTAGTTTCTAGCAGCGGAGCGGTTTTGTAGGAGTTATGAGGGGTGTCACCCCCTCTGGAACTAAGACCCCTTTAGCAGGTCTCCTTTCTATGAGCACTGTAGAGGAGTACCAACTGATCTAGTGGTAAGTGACTTGATTGATAAGGAGAATGTCAAAGTTTTAATCCCGTTCGCATGCAACTTTATCGCATTTTTTGTAAAATTGGGCTTCTAAATGGCTTTAGAGCCCTAAAACCTGAAATGTCTGATGATATTGATGCTAATCGAAGTCAGGAGCGTTAAAAAATCAAAGTAATATGAGTATTATAATCCTTATTGTAATCTTCATTCAAATTACTTACCACTAGGCCAGTTTCCAACATTTGGTACTCCTCTACAGTGCTCATAGATAGGGAGAGAAAGAAGAAGGAGGATAGATAAGGAGAGAACTGCCGGAGAGGCCTCACCCAGGGGGAGACACCCCTCATAACTCCTTCTACAAAACCGCTCCGCTGCTAGAAACTACAGATTTGGAATCAGCGTTTCAAGCGCTTTAAGATGCTATATATCTCATCTGGATTGGTGCTTTCGACTAACAAGGAAAAGAAGGCTGGTCGAAGTGGCCTTTTCAAATGGGATATACACAGCGTTGTAGAGCTTAAAACGCTGATTTCAAATCTACCTTCGCTATCTGCTGCGGACTTCTGGGCGAGGAGTTATGAAGGTTTCTGTGAGTAAAAATTTGGATGCAAGAGTAGGCTAAAATCAGTCGTAACATTTTTTATAGGGCTTAATTGGTAGTCGGGTCACTCGGTACAACAAATATTCTCGATTCAAATATATCAATTCGCTACTGCCTCACTTGAACATTGGGAAAAGGTTACAACTGATTTTACCCTATTTTTGCATTCAGGTTTTTACTCACAAAAACCTTCATAACTCCTCTCCCAGAAGCTCGCAGCAGATAGCAAAGGTAGATTTGGAATTAGCGTGCCAAGCTCTACAAGGCAGTGTACAAATCATTTCAAAAGGCCACTTCGACCAACCTTCCTTCCCTTGTAAGTATCCTCTCCTTGTGAGAGACGCCGACAGCTTCCGCAGTGTCTCTGCGTGCGACGAATCGATTATAGACGCGATAAAAAACACTGTAGTGCAATTCAGCTATAAATATGTAATTCACAACTTTCTGACAAGGAAGTGGAAAAAGTATCTGAACATTATTGAGTGGAGGAAGGAGATACGATAGAAGATTATTCTCAACTTCTATTACTATTAGGGTGAACGGTAAAAAATGGGACACCTACGAAATAACTGGAGGTTTCTCAAGAATGAGAAGCGATTAGACATTCCAGTTTTGATAGATGTTAGAATATTTTATTCTCTTTCAGATAATACCTATATAAGTTCATTTACATAATTAATAATTTTTATACTTGCTGAAATGTAGAGTTAATCACCTGGACAAATTATGAACTTTGAGCAGTATCTGCGCAGTGAAACATGTGAGACCACCCAAAGTACCGCTGCTGGAGTGGATGGTGGGACAGTCACCAAATCCACGACGGCTTGGTGGCCTCAACTTCCAAAGTCAGGAGATATGGCCATTAGCAGCTTCGAAAACGAAGATACGTGTTATCCAATTCCTTCCAGGTGAACGCATGTTTTCTAGGTACCATCTGATAGAGCTTTTTACGCTCTGTCTATCCATGTGCAGCTTGCCTCAGATTTTGTCCATTTTCGGAAAATATAGGGCAAAACATAATTTTTTGGTTCTTATTGCGCCAAAGATAGCTATTCTTCAGGTTTTTTCGCAATTTTTTCTTGAAATTGAAAAGAAATCTTAGGCATTTAACATATCATTCAAAAGAGCATGAAAAGCTCTTTCGAATGGTATGTCATTTGCTTTACGAATTTACTGTATAGCAGCGCAAGATTGAGAATTGTTCAAAAAATCCCGTCGGAGTTCTTCACGACGCCACGCGTACGGTCATGAGAGAGGAGCGGTAACGCGTTGCCAGAATAATAGGCGAAGGTCGGTTATGTAAGCGACGTTTGAGTTGCAGTCTGCTTGTTATTGGTGAGGACAAAAAATCTCAAAATGTAATAAAAATCAAGCTGTCCCATTTTTTACCGTTCACCCTAATATATCCAGACTCGAAAAATTATCCTCTCACTTTACATATTACAATCATTATACCGCAATTTTATAAACCAGTGAACTAGCTCCCAACCTTTTTTTCTTGTTTTCTTTTTGTTCCTTTTTCTAAATTTTTTGCGAAGGTTCTATTATGGTCATGGCGAAATTGATAACATCTATCGTATTGAGGAGTAAAAGGCATATGACAAAGCAGTTAAAGACTTAAAAAGATAGAGCAGCATGGGTTTCAAAGTGGTAAATTCACTGTCACGGCTATGCTACGAG